CCAAAGACCTTGGGACTGTGGATCTGATGTGGCTCTGAGGGGTCCTGATGGCTCTAGGCCTCTAGGTGGAGGTGGCAGAAAGGACAGGGCCACTGACCTATGGGCTCTGACTGTTCTGGAGGCACCAACAGCTGTGTAGGCCCCAGGAGCCTCATGTGCTGTGGCCTGCACCTTAAAGCTGCTTATCTCTCTGGACTATGCAGGACCAGGGATCGAGGTCACCCCCCCACACACACACTTCCGTCCCCAAGCCTGCTGCGGCGGGAGGGCGGAAGACTTGATAAGCTGGGCACAAGGCCACCTGTATCTTCCACCTCCTCTGCTGTGACAAAGGAGGCTTCCGGCCAGGGCTGGACACCAGGGCCAGGGAAACATGCTGTCTCCCAAAAGAGTGGGCAGGGGCTACGTGGCCGGAACCCTGATAACAGGGCCAGCCAAGAGATAAGAGCCCGGCCATCTCCCAGGGATTGTGGGAAGGGGGGCCTTGTCATCTGGCCATCTTTAGGGTGCAGAGTTGTCCCTGCCTCCTCCCTTCTATCTCCAGTTTCCCTGCTGGTCTTTCTAAGTGAACAATCAGTTCTAGTCCTTCCCTGCACTGGCTGCCCCTGCAACCAGAATATCATCGGAATTCCTACTCTCAGCCTATGAGACCCTCCAGGCCTGACCTGGTGGCTTCTCCCATCCTCACCCCATTCCAAAACAAGCTGGCTTCCTCGCTGCTCCTCAACTGGATAGAAATGTGCACGCCTCGGGGCTTTGCACTTCTTGTTCCTTGTGCTCAGAACTCTTTGATCGCCTGGCCATCACTCTTTTTTCAGCGGGGACTACCCTTGGAGGCCACTCCTAAGAGTGACCAGGTGGGGTAGGCCTGAGGACAAGACAGGCTGGGCTGGAGAAGCAACTTGGAGCTGCAAGTCTGAAAAGTGCTAATGGCCTAGGGCCAGCAGAGGTTCGGGGGAGATCCCAACTTACTGTGACGCGCCACCCGTACCCCATGCCTGGCTGCAGGACACCTGCATCTCTACAGTGGGGTAGGCTGTGGGACTTAGGCCACCCTCCCTCTAGACCTGGTCCTGGAGGACAGAGGCTTCTATCCTGCTGCCTGAGCCTGGGTTTCCCCAACCACCCTCCAGGCCTCACTGGGCTTTGCCTCTCCCAGCTAATACCAGTTCCACAGGCCCAGTTCCCTTCTGGTTCTCTATCACCCAGGTGCTCTTCCAGTGAGCAACCAGTGCGTGCCCGCATCCCACCCAAAGTCCTCGGAAAGTAGTTCCATGTAGGACTTAGTTGGGCCAGGAGGCGCCCAACCCCACCCACTCCTGAGCCATGGGGGCGCTGGGCCAGAATCTTCTCCTGGGGAGGAAGCCCAGGGTATCTGGTGAGCGGCGCGGACTCACCTGCGCTCTGCAGCCGCCCTGCGTGCACAGCCACTGTAGGCAGGCAAGGTGGCCAGTTGCAGCCGCGTCGTGGGCCGGTGTGGCGCCGTTGCGCGCGCGGGCCGTGGCGGGGAGGGCTGCCTCCTCCACCAGAAAGCGCAGACAGTGCAGCTTGCCAGCGCGGGCCGCATGGTGCACAGGCAGCGCGTCCAGTGGGTCGCGCAGCGAGGGCTCCAGCAGGCCCGCTGTGTGCAGGGACCTCAGCACGTCCAGCTCGCCCTGCCGCGCCGCCTGCAGCGCTTGCTCCAGGGCCATGGTGCCGCCTGCGGCGCCGCGACCCCAAGCTCAAGGCTGTCCGCGGGGTGCCATGCCCGTGTCCTCTGACGCCCGGAGCAGCTGCGGCGCAGCCGTCGGGGCTCTGCGGACTGGGGAGGCGGAGCGGCTGCTAGCCGGGTCCCGCTCTGCGCTGCCTAGCTCTCTGCTCCGCTCCGCCTCCGCCGCGCTCTGGGGCGGGGACCCTGCGGACTCTCGGCTTAAGCCTCGGACCCGCCCCTGGTCCCGACTCCGCCCCTCCTGGTCTCCAGAATGCACCGCCAGCCCCCGCGGTGCCTCCGGGGCACTCGGGCAACAGGAGCAGGTGCGCTCAGGTAAAAACTGCGATCCCAGAGGGCGACTAGAGTGGGTTAGGATTCGACAACCGTCAAGCGCAGACTAATTCATTCGTCTGCCAAGTGCCCACTATATGCTGTTCCAGAAGCTGGGAGTCACAAGCCAATAGTTACCGCAATTCCAGAGAATGACAAGTGTCATTAGAGCAGGAAAGCGAGATGATCTGGAGTGATTTCATGGGCCGATATGGGCGGTCAGGGAAAGGTCTATCTGAGGAGGTGCCCTGGGGCTGGATGAGAAGAGGCATTCCAGGCGCAGAGAACTGCAAGAGCAAAGACCCTGAGGTAGAAACAGGCCTACGAAGGCCCCACAGGGCTCTGGTCTATGCCTCTGTTCAGTGCTAAGGGTGCCGGGCTCTCAGCCCTCCAGGCTCCCTCTGGGCCAGAGAACTGACCTCAGAGCCTCCAGCAAAGAGGGAGGGAGGGCGGGAAGGAGAGAAGGAGGACCAGGGACAGACAAGGATGTCTGGTGTGGGCCAGCCAGGCAGCATGATGGGTGGAGTGACTGGATCCCACATGGTCAACTGAGTGGTCCAAACTGACTGGTGGCTTGAAAAACACACTGACAGGGCAAGTAGGCCCAGAACCCTGAAAGGAGAATGCAGTAAGCAGGGATTGCAGCAGTCACCCGCTCGCCTCGGGCTTTCTCACTCTCTCTACCCCACTGCACCAGTGCAAGTACCCTATATGAAAATGAAGGAGGTGGGGGAGGAGAAGGTGGCCTGGTGTGCTCAGAATTCTGGATCCAGATACTATGAACTCAGAGCACCCAAGAACCACGGTAAGGGAGGGGAGGTGTCGGCCATAGGCCTAGGGCCTGGGACTTCCAAGCTAAGAGAAGAGAAAGCAGGATTAAAAGACTGGGGCCAGTGGGAACCAGCAGTTAGCATAATGGCTATGTTGCTGGATTCCCATCTAGTCGACCGCGGTTCGCATCCCGGACCCGGTGGCTTAAAACTCACGCCGGGCGCGTGTGCGTGCGTGCCCAAGATCCCGAGAGGAACATGGAGGAGAAGGGATTGCAGCGTGACCATCCCCCCTGGGGGGTGATTTCTCGCTTTCTGTCTCTCTGTTTCTCTCTGTCTGTCTGGCGAGTGCACGCACCCTATAGCAAAAATCTCTCCAAAAAAAAAAAAAAGACTGGGGCCAGTGAGGCTGTCATACAGAGGTCATCAGAGAGAGGGCACGTGATTGCTCTCAAGGGTGCCCGAAGGGTGCAGAGGGCGCGGGCAGGAAAGCACATGTGCACACCACATCCTGCAGGCACCTCCGGAAACCACTTGTGGGAGCTGGAGGAGGCAAGGCTGGCTGGACACAAGGAGGAGCTGCTAGAAGGTGGGACTGTGTCGCTGTGGGAGTGCAGAAGCATATCAGCCACTGCAAAACAGCCTGTGTCCTTCCTTTCCCACTCCCACCCATGCCCCGGGAGCTGTGTCACCCAGCGCCTACCCTTGCCCAGCTCCTGGCCTTGCTGGAAATGCCGCAGGATGAAGGTGCATTCCAGAACAGTGAGAGTCCTGGTGCTGTACCATAAGAGGCTACCTTGGAGATCGTTCCCTGGGGCCGTCAGGTGGCCCCTGGCGTCTTGGCCTCCTGCTTGCTCAGGTGCTCTTATAACCCAAGTCTGTGCCCTTCGTGGTCAGGTGGATGGCCCAGTTCCTTCAACTGGACCTGTGGCCACTGGGATCTGGGACCTCTGCATAGCTGTTAGCAAAAAAAAAAAAAAAATGAGGAATCTTTCCTCATATCCTGGCCACTTCCCTACTTTGGCTGGTGTGGACAGAGCAATATGCTTGATGCCTGGTGGAGTTAGCCTCCTCCAGCTACTGAGAGGCAGGTGCGCCCTGAGGCCAGCAAGTGCAGGAGAGATAAAAGGCTCCTCCTCTTGGGTTTCCCTCATTTGTGCCCCCTTCATGACTAAATCCCTGCAATTCATGTCTTCCACCCCCAGGTGGCTCTCCTGGCCCTGGACAAACTTCTCTATCACATGGTTTTATTTTGTGGCCAGGTCCGGGTGAGCAAGGCGGATGTCCCTGAACCACTAGGAGACATCTCTGTAAAAGCTAGGTGTGAGCACCCGCCCCTGCTGACCAGCTTCTCAGACTACTTTCAGGATATGGCTCACACTCAGAATGGAAGCTTGCCCTTCCTGCCAGTTCTCATTGTCTTTTCCAAATCCTTACAGCTAAGAAAACTGCGGTATGGATTTTTAGTTTGTTTGCTTTTTTTTTTCTTTTAAGAATTATTTTGTTTAATTTGATTTATTATTCACTTCATTTTCATTTGGAGAGAGAGAGAGATTGAAAGTGAGAAAGTAAGCCACCAGGTCCGACACTTGAACCATGGTCAGCCACATAGGAGAGTCCAGCACCCTAACCACCATGCCACCTGCTTGTCCCAGCTGTTTTGTTTTTTAAAGTTTCTTGCCTTAGGTGACACAATTGGGAAGTGGCAAAGCTCACTCTCCAGTTGGATCTGGCCTGAGGTTCCTTCTGCCACAGAAGAAACCTCATTCCTTCCCACTCTCTCCCACCCTCCAGGTGTCGGCTTAGAGAGTGCCTTCCCAGGAGCCTCCTGTTACCCCCCTGCTGGGCTCCTTGCAGCCCACCTACCCAGCTGTTCAGGTATCTCTCCCACCCATGGACTATGTGCTTCCTAGGTGGCATGTGTCCCCCCTATACCCCAGGTGGCCCCAGCTTTCCTAAGGCCTACCCACTCAGCTCTCTTACCAAATTTCTCCTAATAGTAAACGACTCCTTCTTCCAAGTTACCAGCAAATTCCTTCTGTTAAAGGGAACTGTGAGTTACCTGGTCAGAGTCCTTTACAGCATGGGAGAGTGGAAGAGAGAGACTTTTTTCTTTTAATTTGCTTCCTTTTAAAAATTATTTCTTCATTTATTTAAAATTGTCAGAAGGTGCATATGCTTATCAGAGAGAGATGGGGTGGAGGGTGGGGGTGGGGAGGAAAAAGCACCACCTAATGCGTGTGATCTCGTGGAAGTTTCTTCTACATTTCCCCATCCGACTGGGATTTGGGGGCATACGTGCACATGTGCCCAGCAGTTTTTTTTTTGTTTGTTTGTTTTCTATAGGGCATGTATGCTCACCAGAGAGAGACAGAGACAGAGACAGAGAGAGGGAAAATGAGAAGTCACTCTCCTCCAGAGGGGATGGCCATGCTGCAATTCCTTTTCCTCCAGTCTCTCTCAGGATTTTGAGCAAGCACACACACACACCTGGAGTGATTTGCTAGCCCCTGAGTCTGGGACTTGAACCATGCAGTCGGTCATGTAGGATCCAGTGCCTTAACCTCCACGTCATCTGCTGGCCCCCACAACAGTTTTCTAAGCTGCTGGGATCAGGATTTGAACTGCAGTCAGTCATGAGGGAGCTGGCTCTCTTAACCACTATGCTATGGGGCAGCCCTAATTTTTTCTTTATTCATGATAGAGCATGCTTGTGTGTGAAAGAGAAAAGAACGTCCTCTGCGGATCTGGTCACACCAAGACCCCTTTCCTGTAGCCCTCCAGCCCACTGGGTCTGGGGTAATCCCGTACATGCTCAGCTTGTTTCAGGCTGACCAGGCTAGGGATCTGAACCGTGGTCACCATGTTGGATCTGGCTTCTCCAAGTCCTGCTGGGCCAGTATTAAGTGATTTATTGTCCCAATTAGGACTGTTATGGGAATTAATGGTGATGAGGACCGTGAAGCATTTGGCCCTGAGCTGGGCAGTCAGTGGTCAACGGTTCTCTGCATGCCACAGACAGGCATGGGTGGCCCTAGCTGCCCTCACCCAGGCTGCTCCAGGCCCCCTTCCTGATGCGTACTCTGGTCTTCTCGGACCCTGACGGAACAGCACTGCAGGAAGGGGGGTCTGGGACTACCTGCGGTGTCAGGCTGGGAAGTGGGGTCTGGGCGGCGAAGATGGGGTTGGAGGTCTTTCCAGAACCGTGGACAGAGCCTGCCTTGGCTCCGCCCCTCGGTCCCTCCTCCCTGCCCCGCTCTCTGGTCGGACTGACCCGAGGGCAGTGTGGTCCGCAGAGGTGGCCGTTGCCCTGCCAGCCGGTCGAGGGAGGGAGCCCAGAGCAGATGGGCGGGGGACGCCAGTCAGTTTGCTCCAGCAACGGCCACGCGGCGCGGAGGCGGGCCCGGGCGTGCCGCTGGGGCCGAGGCTGTCAGCCAGGAGTCCGCACCTAGGACCGCCCCGCTCGGCGAGCTCGCTCGTCACGTGGGCTCCGACCGTCCCTAGGGTGAGAACCGGAACTCAGGGCCGGTTAAGATGAACAGGAGGGCTCCTGGTTTACTGCTGCTTCTTTGGGACAATTTCCTTATCCCAAACCAAAGATGGGGAAACCAGATGATCCCTAACTCGGTGAGCCGCTGGGGGACTCTACCGAGTCCTTAGGGCCAGAAAGTCCAGCCATCGGGACTCCAGTCCTGGCTCGGCCTATTCCCAGCGGCGGGGACAGGAGCGACTCGTGACCCCTCTCTGAGCCTCGGTTTCTCAGTCCACTGAGCAGCTGGTGGCGCGAGTGCCTCCCCTAATGATCCTCGTGGGAGCTCCCTGAGGCCCCAGCCTTGGCAGTCTTGCTGCCACAGGGTCCCCCTAGGCCAGGGCTCAAAGGAGGTGTTGATCCCATGTGCGGGGAATGAATGAAGCGTGGCGTTAAAGAGGATGGACTGCCTCTTGAGCCAGGGGACGCCTGCCCCACCCCGCCCTTCCGCCCGCGGGATCAGGATGGCCCCGATGACTCCCCACCCCTGCCCACACAGGTGCTCGCGAAGCGCCGAGGTCTGTAGCTCCGCTGCAGATGGGATGCGAGCAGATCCCCGCGGGCGCCGCTGTCTCCCCCTCCCCGCCCCATCCTGCTCTAGAACAAAGGCGGGAGGTGGGACCAGCGGGCGGCCGGACTCGGCGGGGCGGGGAGGGGCAGGCTACACCGCCTTTTTAAACCCGAGCTGCGGGTACCGCGCGCACTCCACCCGCGCCCTCTCGGGCCGCGCTCGGTGCCTCCCCTTTGGCTTCGGTCTGCCTGCGGGTGGCCTTCAAAGTCGCCGCCTTCCCGCCTAGCATGGGACTGCCTCGCAGGGCGGGGGACACTGCGGAGCTGCGCAAGGTAGAAGTTGGGGACTAAGGGTAGATGGGACTGAGCGGGAGCCGGGACCGCAACCCGCCTAACCGCGGCCTCCGCGCGCCCTTTCGCAGAGCTTGAAGCCGCTGCTGGAGAAGCGCCGGCGCGAGCGCATCAACGAGAGCCTGAGCCAGCTCAAGGGGCTCATCCTGCCGCTGCTGCCCAGGCGCTGGGCCGACTCCGTGCACTGTGGCGGGGTGGGATGGGGAGGGCGCGGGGAGGAGAGGCCCTGTGGCCCAGAGCGAGGGCTGACCGCCCTATGTGCTTCTGCGGGAGGAACCGGCGAGGGCTTCAACGCGACGCCCAAGTCGAGCCCCAGCGGGGTGAGCGCGGAAGAGACGACCCAACGGGTCACAGGCGCGCTGGGCACCCAGCTCCTGGCACCAAAGTGGTGCTCACCGCTGCCTGAGCGGGAGCTGTCTCGTTTGTTGTCTCTGCCCTCTCCCTCGTGGCCGGACGCAGAACTCCCGCTACTCGAAACTGGAAAAAGCAGACATCCTGGAAATGACTGTGCGCTTCCTGCAGGAGCTGCCTGCGTCCTCCTGCCCCGACGCAGCGCCGGGTGAGTGACCCTGCCCCGCCCTGTCCCGCGCGGTGCTCGGTACCCTCCTGTGCGCCTCACGTCGCTCTCCGCCCGCAGCGCCGTCGGACAGCTACCGCGAGGGCTACCACGCCTGCCTGGGGGGCCTGGCCCGCGTGCTGCCCGCCTGCCGGGTCCTGGAGCCGTCGGTGAGCGCGCGCCTGCTGGAGTATCTGCGGCGGAGGGCGGCGGGTGCCAGCCCTGACCGCGGCAGCGCTGGAGACTACTCCCCACGCCCGCCCCCCGCCCCGCGCCGTCCCGGCCTGCGTCCGCCGGCGGTCCTGGCCTCTGGCGGCCCTGGTAGCCTCCTGGCCGGTCTACGCACCCTGCTGACTGCGAACCTGGAGCCTGGGGCTCCTGGCAGGCCGCGGAAGCTGGTGACAGCTCCCTTTCCCACTATGAGGAACCAGCCCAGCACCCACGCCTAGACCGGAACCCGGATGTCTGTGACCAGCGTGGCATATCGAAGACCCAGAGATTCAGCTCCAGGACTTAAGGGCCGCTCTGTCTCATGCTCAATTTGAGGGTGTCTGGGCAAGAGGAAAGGGGGGCAAGTGGCTACAGGGTGAGGAAGAAGCCGCACACCCCAGCTGGTGGAGGTGCGCCTGGAACTGTGCCAGCCACATGCTGCTTGGAAAGCTGACACACCTTCCCCAGAGCGGGCACCAGAACAAGGTCTCAGCCAGGAGTTCACCTGGGCCAGGTGCAGCCATCTGCTCTGACTGGTCACTGCTGTTCCGCCACTGCTTGGGCCTACCTCGTTGGGCTTGGGATCTTCTGGGACAAGCAGCAGTGGCCTATGGAACTCTGGTCATGCCTCAAGACTCTGCAAGGCCCCAGAACAGGACAAAAGGAAGGGCCGGGAGTCATATCCTGCACACTCTGCCCAAAGCCTCCGATAATGGGGGCACCGTGCAGCCAGGCCTATGCCACAGGGAGTGGGAGCTTCTCTTGGTGGTCCTGGGAAGAGTTTATTTTCCCCAGTATTGATTTAACACGTGCACCACGCCTCAGGCTAGGTGTCCTTGGGCTGTGAGGAAGGAATGGGACAAGAATGAGGCTGCCCTGTGGCCTCAGGGAGACTTGTCACTTTGGGGGTGGAAGCCCAGCACGGAGATGGTGCCCATGGCAGAAATTCAAGGAATAGCAGCATGTTAAGGAATGAGAAACACCTTTCCTATTTTCTTTGGAAAACTACTCATTGCTACTCAGGGAAACTGGTTCTTGGAAGCAGCTTGTTCTTAAGAGTTTCCTTTCTGGGACCAGCAGTTAGTGTAATGGCTGTGTCGCTGGACTCCCCATGTAGTCGACCGCGGTTCGCGTCCCAGACCCGGTGGCTTAAAACTCACGCTGGGCGCATGTGCGTCCGTGCCCAAGATCCCGAGAGGAGAATGGAGAAGGGATTGCGGCGTGGCCATCCCCCCCTGGGGTGTGATTTCTTTCTGTCTCTCTGTCTCTGTCCGGTGAGCACATGCGCCCTATAGCAAAACCCTCTCAAAAAAAAAAAAAAAAAAAAAAAAAAG